TTCACTTGCAACTAAATCATTAAATGTTACTTTTTGGGGGGCATTTCATTTTCTTGGAATTTAATTTTCTTTTCAGGGGTCATTGGATTTAAGTGTCATTCATAAATAAATAAATAAATAAATAAATAAATAAATAAGTAAATAAATAAAAATGAATAAATATAATCACCGGCGATGATAACTTCCTCAATGGTTCAAGGGGGCGTTTCTTTCAAAAAGGTTAATAACCACTGTTATATGCTACCCAGTTAGTGGATTTCAACTGGTGGGGTGTTTACTGGTGGAGAGATGAAAAAGGGTGAACCCAAAAGGACTGCTGCGGCCAGCTGCCTTCTGATTCTTCATTCGGGTCTAGTTTTTCAACGAGGGAAAGGTGGCTTTCCGGAAAGACTGAAGTCTGTTCTCCTTTCTTTCAGACCAAAGGCGAGGAGGCCGGAGGCCAACCCGATCTGACTACGGGTGATTTTGCAAATGTGAAGGTAACTTTTAAATTCGAGGGGGGGGGCTGTCTGTGTGTCTGATGCCTGGCTTTTTCTTGCACAAAAGTGGAATCCAGAGTTCAGTGAAGGATCCCCAAAATGTATTCTCAAGGATGGGAAAAGGTTTTTGTGTCTGGGAAAGGAAGCATCGATGAGGGTGCAAACACTAGATTGGATCAAAGCCATTTAATCTTTATCTAATTCTTAACTTAAAAGGAGGGGTTTTTGTATGTGATTTTTTTTTTAGTAAAAATGTGGCAAATGACCGTGTTAAGAGCTTTGTGGGTTTACCGTAATTTTCTGTTTATAAGACTCCCCCCATGTGTAGGACAACTCCCACTTTTCTAACCCCAAATTAGAAAAATTGATTGCTTTCCCTGCCAGTTCCTAAACCCCACGGGGCTTAGCAAAATGAGGGGAAAAGCAGCGAGCAAAGGGCTGCAGGATGAAAGCAGCGAGCAAAGTGATCCAGCAGCCCTTTGCTTGCTGCTTTTCCTTTCGTTTTGCTAAGCTCTGTGGGGCTTGGCACATGGAGGGGAAAAGCAGTGATCAAAGCGCAGCAGGATCGCTTTGACTCCTTCCCTCCTCTACTTGTTTTTGTTTTCTCCTTAGCTTACATCTGTGTATAAAACGACCTTCAATTTTTAGTCTAAAGATTTTAGACAAAAGTATTGTCTTATATAAGAAAAGTACGGTATATCTCATGCTCCTTCCTCCAGACACTGGAAGAGAGGCCCTGAGCAGCAGTAGATTTTACAGTAACACACCTATCATGCAGCTAACAAACTTGTGTTTCTTCCTTTTTCCCCCCATTCAGGACTCTGAAGACTGTCCCACGGAACCAGGTACTGTTCCTTAAAAACAAGCTGCCCCGCCCCAAACCTTCCGCCTAGGTTTTACACCACACAAAATCCCTGGAGTCACTCTCCTCAGTATTTTTTGTTAGTATCTGTAGTTCGTTTTTCTAACTGGCGCACAGTACCAAAAAAAGGAAAAGGCCACAGAGATTGGAAATTGGGTCATGCCGTAAGATCTGCAGCAGCATCCTTCTTGCTGTGTGTGATGATGGTTCTTGGGATGTGGTTGGTTTAAGCCCCTAAACGGGGAAGCGGGTTGCGCCATACCAGGGGGCAGCTCTGTGCTCAGGCAGATCTTGCGGCATAACACGAAACACCCTGGTGCTGTAACTTTGCCTAGATAAGAGCAGTTGAGAATGAAGGCAGGGACCCCAGCCTTCAACCGAAGAGCGAAGACGGCCTGGTCAACGAAGTGCCTTTCAACTCAGCTTTCTGCACTACAAAGGCGTTCCGATTCTGTTGTTCGTTGTGGCAGCGTTCAAACGTGGACTAGTCTTTCTTAAAAAAAAAATAAGAAAGAGCAACAATTACATCCAAAAGAGGAACTGGCAAACAAACAAACCCACAGACACTCCAAAACCAGCATTCTTGCCGTCGTACGTAGCCATGTTGGACTTGGGAGCGCCACTTTCTGGAAGAACAGAAAAGCTGCGCAGCCACAAGGAGACAAGCCGGAGCCTCAAAGGAGGATGAGACTCGTCAAAGGTTTTCCCCTCCTTGTTTCTTTTAGGCAGAGCACTGATAGCGATGTTAGACGGCTGGGTTAATTGGTAGGCGTTTGAATGTGGTCTAGCCGAGGGTGTTCCAATCTCTGTGTAGATTTAGCCGTTCTCTCGGTGTTAGTGGGGCAGCCAAGCCCCTTCCGCATTTGTCTTTGCTGTGTTTCCCTGGTGATTAAACCTTGTGCCATTCTATTCCTGTTAAATCCATAGAAAATGAGAAAATACTCGACAATTTGGGTGACACTTGTAAATCTGAGCCCCTTAAAGAGGAAGAGGAAGAAGAGGAAGACGCAGAAGAGCCCTCCGAAGTGGAGCAGGCGCAGGAAGCGACCAGCCAGTGGCCCGGCAAGCTGGCGGAAGAGGAAGAGGCGCTCGGCCCCGCTGCTCAGCCGGACGAAGAGCTGTTAGACTCGGAGAGCCGTGCGGGCCGGGCCGCGGCCAAGAAGGAGGAAGAGGAAGGCGAAAACTTAGGGGTAGCGAAAGGGAAGCCGAGCGAACAGAGAGTTGAGGAAACCGAGCTGGACTCTGACTCTTTAGCGGTAGAGAGCAGGAGTGGTGGTGGAGGAGGAGGTGAGAGTAGCGGAGGCGCGCAAGCGGAGGAAGCCAGTAGTGAGGCAGCCGCAGAGACGGACGCAGGTCCCCAGGCGGCTAGCCCAGAAGCCGAGAAGATGGAAGCCAAGGCTAATGGTGAGGAAGAGTCCTCCGCCACTAGAGAGCCCTCTGCCCCAGAAGGGGGTGATCAGAACACGAGGTTTGTTGCTTCTCCGTTCTAGAACAGATGCTGTCTTTTTTTCTTCCCCGTTGGTCCTTTTATGAATTCAAATGCCTGGTGAATACCTCCAGTGAGCTTGATGAGTTCCTTAAGGATATTGTTGTTTATTATTGAAGGAGCGTTTTCCATTTTAGTTGTCCTCGGCAGGCTTTTTCCCCCCCTTTCCTTTCCTTTTTTTTTATTTTGTGGGTCGGAGATGTCTTGTTATTTCTTTGGTTATTTTCCTTCAAAGTGTTTACCATATTCGTTGGTCTTCCAAAGTTGCACTCTTTACCCTTTAAGCAGTTAGCTCTGTTTTTGGTCACGACTGACCTCCTTTAAAAAAAGGCCCTTTTCACAAGAATTCTCCTTCCAGAACTGATTCTTTCTCTGGTAGGTATCTGATTCTTGCCCAGCTTTGCCTGCCCTTTTTTCTCATGGCTCCTGCTTCTGATCGAATAACGTCCATTTCTTTTCCTCCCATCTTTAGCTGTAATGAGGATACACAACCCAAAAGTGCTTCAAAATATGAGAAGGGTAAGCTCTTTGGTCCCTCTTTGAGCAGCCTTAATTAAGCCATTGTTTTTCCTGCCGTTGTGTGAGCCCAGGCATCCATGCTTGCTGTTGGGAAAATCCACAGAGCTACAAATAACCTTGTCAAAATATATATATATTTGTCTCAGGTCTCTTTGTTCAGCACAAGGACAACAGAGAATCACGAACCGTTTGAGGTTAAAAGTCACAATGTTCGTGCTCTAAAAGAATCGAGCCAAGTTCTGAGTTCAGTCATGCTGAGGGCTAGTGTTGTTTTCATGAGGTATTAAGTGATTTCTCTAAATGGCCCCTTGGGTCTTATTAGGAACGGGAAATAAATATTCCGTGTCTGTTTGCAAACTAAATTGGGCCTTGCTTCCTTAGAGGAGCGTTTTATTTTCAATAAGAAAAGTCATCTCTGATTCTGGCGGCATTTCTGTTGATGAGACTGTAGGTGGTTTGGGCTGCTGGGTTAGCTAGAGAAGCCAAACTGTATAGCTTTATCGAGAATGCTGCTTTGATCCATAGTTCCTCTGCTAAACAGTCACAGGGTCCCACCAAAAAAAAAAAAAAGGATAGGGTTGTTGTGGGTTTTTCGGGGTCTTTGGCCGTGTTCTGAAGGTTGTTCTTCCTGACGTTTCGCCAATCTCTGTGGCCAGCATCTTCAGAAGACTGGAGTTGTCGGCCACAGAGACTGGCGAAACGTCAGGAAGAACAACTTTCGGAACACGGCCAAAGAGCCCGAAAAACCCACAACAACCATTAGATCCCGGCCGTGAAAGCCTTCGCGAATACACAGGGATAGAGTTGTTGAGAAGACATGCCTCATAATCTCACTGTGCGACTGCAGAGTTCAGCCATAAAGCAGGCAAGGCCTTTCCTGTCAGCCAGCTGTCGTCAAACTTGGCTTCTGTTTTGCTTTTGTGGCTCTGCTTCTCCCCCACCTTCAGAGGTGGAAGCTCATTCCTTATTTTCTTGGCCTCCCCGTCTTAGGTCGCTTGAGTAGTAGCTCTGGCAGAAACCTCTGGGTGAGCGGCCTTTCTTCTTCGACCCGAGCTACAGATCTGAAGAACCTCTTCAGCAAGTATGGAAAGGTATGTATGTTGAACGTGAAAGGTGGCCTATTTGAGGCCTGTCAGTCTCATTAGAGCAGTAGCAGCAGCAGCTGGGAAGGGATCCTATGGATCATTGGGTGTAGCCGCAGTCAAGGAGGCCCGGCGGAAGGAATTCAGATTCCAAAAGGACCTTGCTTTCTTGGGTTACACAAGTCCTGGTCAGGTCTCCCAAGAAAACTCACCTGGCTTTAACGTGGTGGCTGAATAATGTTCGATTTATGGTGGATGGAAATGTCTTGTTGGGCAGAGTTGGCGCCCTCAGACTTTTTTTTCACCATAGGCACCATTTATCTTCCTTTGGTTCTGATAACACTTACCATTAGTTAAAAGCATGTTTCGTGAACGCCTCTAAAGTTGAACCCAGTCTTAATGTTGTCACTGCTGGCTTCGGAAAAAGCCGTTTCGTCTCTCATGCTGCTAGGAATTGCCAGAATTCCACAGCTTTCTTTTCCACCCTCTCCTTCCTTTTTCCTCTGCCTCCCTTCCAGGTGGTGGGTGCCAAGGTGGTGACCAACGCCCGCAGCCCTGGCGCTCGTTGCTATGGCTTTGTCACCATGTCCTCTTCAGAGGAAGCGACCAAATGCATTGCCCACCTCCACCGGACGGAGCTGCACGGCAGGATGATCTCTGTGGAAAGGGTACGCTTTTACTAGGCTCGTGTGTGAGTTGACGGAGGCGTTGTGGGGACCACCTGATGAAGGTGACTTCATCGGGGATGAAGGTGAAGGGAGTTGCTGGATCCCATCCCCGTCTTACTCGTCGTTTCCGTCTTACCAGAATAGGGCTAGAACGTTCCTTGGACTGCTTTAGGTTACAAGGAGGCGAGTCAGCCTCAGCCTAGCCTGAGAAGCCCGGAAAAAGAGTGTGTTACCCAGATAGAGGCAGGGATGGTCCCGGGGCGGAAGACTAAGGAAAGGAGCCCAGCGTGCCGCAACACAGCTTGGTTGAAGCTGAAAAGTGCGTGCTAGTGGCTTCGCTTTAAAGGCGAGCAAGACCCCCTTATACCTTAGCTGATCAGTTTCTTATGCTGGGCAAGGGCTGGCCAACAGGGGCAAGACCGATTTTCGGGAGCATATGCTGGGCCATCCTTGATATGAACTTGTTCGTTCAGCATTGTGTTGTCCCAGCCCTGCTTGAAGGCCTCTTTTCAAGGTTGCCAGAAAGTCCACCTGTCTTCATTTGCAACTTACACAACTAAAAGTAGCAGGCATGCTTAAGACAGATAGTAGGCTCCTAAGGAATCTGAGATTGCAGTCTACAGTTGCAGTTAAAGTCATGCAGCAAATTTTAACAAGCACATGGGGAGACAGGCTTGGTTTTTACTTTATCCTGCTTTTGCTGTGCTGTTTTCCTTGGGCAGGAGCATTTGTTTCCCTTCTCTATTTTCTATGGAGGGGGTATGATCTCCCTCTCCAGCACGTAGATTTCTGATCTAAAACGATTCATACCAAGAGCTGATTTCCTACTCTGATTTTTTGGATGGTCTCTGCGTACCTTGAACGAAGCCACCATTTCTGTCCTGGTCCTTGCAGGCCAAAAACGAACCCGCTGGGAAAAAGGTGCTCTCCGATAAGAAAGAGAACGAGGTGAAGAAAGAGAGAGACCGGCGCCACTCAGCAGACTCGCGATCGGAAAGGTGTAGTGGCAATTTCATCGTAACCTGGAGGGAAGAGGCAGAAGGGATTTCTTAGGAAGCCTCAATGGAAAGGATCAAACCCTACCCTGGCTTTTGGTGCCTTGTTTGGGCAGACCAGAGTTTTAATTGGCCATGGGTTGCCCCGGTCGGGCTGAAAGACAGCGGATGCTTTTGGACACTGAAGGGGGAGAGGGGAGCAGGCGGAGGCACGGAGCGCTCAGTCAAGGTGGCGCCTCTGTTTCAAGCTCTCATTGGTATTCTGTCTTGGTGCCGTGGGTGAAGTGCACCTTCTACCTAAAGCAGAATGGGTGTGACCGAAAAACAAGCCAAGAAAAGAGGTGCATGTTGGAGCTTTTAAGGCTCATAATCCAGTAACTAAGGTTGATGAGAAACATTTTAAAAGTGGGAAACCCATACAGAAAGCTGGAAATGCCTGAACTGCAATCTCACCAGGAAGGAGATGCGTCTGGCTGGCAAAGCCCGGAGGGCCGGATTCAGCCCCAGGGGGACAGAGTCTC